CTCAACTCAGTCGGTTAGTTTGGAGGGAAAAACTGTGAAAAGTTCTTTGCGTTTTGCTGGTTTGCTGCCGTGATTCTAACACAAACCTACGTAGCTCCGCCCAGCAGCAGCAGGTCTCCTTCACAGGTGGAAACATGTTGCGTTTAAAGGCGGCTCGGAAAAACAGGTTACGACATGTTAACAACGGATTAAACAGTTTTAACTGCTGATAAAAGTGACAGAGGACACAGATATGGGAAGTGCAGAAGCCCCTACTGTATCAAATTGACAGAGGAATAACAGAGAGTTGGCCATTCTAAGGTAAAAACCTAGCGCATACAGCGTTCATGTTTTTTGTTGTTGTTTTTTTTAATCCAGATGGCTTCCCGCGCCCCCTTGCAATGGCACGGCGCCCCTCTAGGGGGCGCGCCCCACAGTTTGGGAACCTCTGAACCAAAGTATGTAAACTAGGTGCTCCTGTTCAGGGTTGCTAAGTATTCTCTGGTCTAATTTCATTTCTGGGTTGGAAGAACAGGAGTCTAACAAGTAGTCTGATAATCCAAAGTAAATACACTAGATACTGGCCTAATTCCATTTCTGGGTTGGAAGAATAGGAATAGAAAGAATAGCTTTATAAATTTAAGTTATGATACTTTCCAAATATTCAATATCTACATATTTATAGGTTCTTAGCTATCCAGGACATGGAAAGAAATGAAAAATTAAAAAAAGTTTAAAACAACTTAAGTAATATAAGTAAGTAAATAACACAGAACTTGTATTGCAGGGCTTAAAGAGCTCCGGCAGGGGGCCGGATTTCCGGCTTTTGATCAAACGGTCCGCCTCAACCAAACTGTAGTCTCCGGGCTAGACCGGAATGTGTCGGCGGCGATACATCTAAATTTGCAGTACCGTAATTCCGCCACACGTAGCGCTATCTGAAAAATTCCAACGGTTTCTGAAAGGGGAGACGTTGCACTTTCCAGCAAGTAACGGGTTAATACGGCAACTTCACAGCTGCAGCTGCAGAGAGTGTAATTAATCCGGGGGGCACTCGTTTAATAGACGGTAAATTGCGAAAATAACTTTCTGGATATTGAAAGTTCCGGTTGTTATGGATACATGGGTAAGTATATCATCTCACGGGACATTTAAAGAACTACTTACAATTAAAATAAGGAAGATTTATTTAGTCAGACGTTTAAAACTTAGGCGTAAAGAGCTCCGTCTGGGGGCCAGACTTCCAAGCAAAGCGAACATTGGATCAAACGGCCTGCCTCAACTAAACTGTAGATCAGTGTTTTTCAACCTTTTTTGTTGAAACACTGTTTTAATTGAAAAAATCTAGAGGCACACCACCAACCAAAAATGTAAACAAAGATACTTTGTAGTCACCTATATTACATA